GTATAGGTACGAATTTGCTCAACGGTGGCTTTGTTTGAGTCATCAAGTGCATTTTAAACTAATAGCATATCATAAATCATAGTTAAATTATGTAAAATAATGATATAATTATGTATATCTAAAACGCAGTAAACAAAAGTCATAAAGAACGTATTAAATATATTATACAAAAATATATTAACGTTATTAACTAAATCTGAAGCACAATAGTTAACCCATTTCTTCGATAGATGGTGGTGTTGTAAAAATGTAATGCAATTGCAAATGTGGTTTTTTCCTGTAGATGAGTTTTCATATTTACTGCTAATCTTTATTATATTACTCGCTGCCCTACTGCGTGTTGACAAACTCAATTTATTCTTTACCGCCGAGTACTCTATGTGGTAAATCAAATTTTAAAAGAGCTATTAACAATTGCATTGGTTTTGGCGAGAGTCAAACTTTATTTTTTGCTTACTGTGCAGGCACTGATTTATAGGTTCTCTTACGTTTTATATAATGTATCAATCGCGTCAATTAATCTCTTTTATTTTTAGAATTGATGATGTTAGCAGCGCCATCTCTCTTTAAATATATACATATAATAAAAATGATATGTTATCATCAGTGTCTCTTTCTGTACATTGTATATATATTTTGGTGGCTAAAACCATTATGATGAACTGAAAATAATTAAATAAGAACATTTTATAATTTTTAGAATTGTCTGTCTGTCTATTTGTCTGTTATTATATGAACGCATCACGTCTAAAGTAAACATCTTTTATTTTCAAAGAAATCGTTAAGAATATCATAAAGCGTATCTTCGAGTTAAATTTAATCTTTGTTTTATTAAAATTGGTTAATTCTATCGAAAGTAATGATTATTATTTTGAAATGTGGGTTCGAATTTGTTCAATGGCGCCATAAAATCTCAGAAATAGTAATAAAAAGATTTCTGTTTAAAAAAAAACGTTCCATAATAATTAATATATTTATACTTAAAACACAAAAAGAGATAGGATGTTTTCTCACACAAAGGACGTAATAGATGGAGTTGTTCAAATTACAAACTTTTCTGAATTGCTGTGTTGAGATTTTTCGCCGATGAATCGTATTGAGACTTACTGAAGAAATTTGTATCCAACGAAGCCATACAACGGAACCCGACCAAAAATAAAAATTTCGCAACTAAATGTCGTGATATTGTATTTATAATATACGCAAAATCAGAACTGCCATTTTAGCGCTTTTGGAACTAGATTTAGCACTTTTTTGGAAAGTATAGCGCGCATTTCGAAATTTTAGCACCTAGCGCTTAATCCAGCGCTTTTTGGTGTATTTAGCACACATTTCAATATTTTAGCGACTAACGGGTTATTAACTCTTTTATAGCAGCACTGTTAGTCCACATTACCGATAATAATAATAATGACCTTTATTATTTTTTCCCACAAATAGTACATTGCAGTTTATCTTTTTCAAACATATTTTTCCACAAAACAAAGAGCATGGGAGACGAGTCCAAACTAGGATACCCTGTGCTATGGATCTCCTGGCTTCCCCTTTAGGATGATCAACTTGATTTTTTTACCGACGACTATAAGCGGGGAAATCCCCTTTGTTAAAGTTTTCGTTCATGGTTTTGGTAACGCATTTATTTTGCTTTATTCAGTTTCAGTCAGTTGCTTAGAGCACAGCTAAGTTAAAAGTTACTTAGAAGTTATAACACAAAGAAACTGTGTAGCAACCGCAATCAGATGCTGACATCTGAAACTAAGTTGCGAAATACATTGCACTTTAAAACAATTAATGACATTTTTATTGTTCGTACAGTACTAACTACTGTTGACAGCAATTGCTATAATTATAAGTCGATGTTCTGCGAAGTATTGATACATCAAAAAAAATATTGCCAGAAAAAAAACTTAATGTTGTTTTCTTTATTATGATTATATAAAAAAACACAAACTTTGTTTGTAGTTAATTTAGCGCGAAATCTAGGGCTTTTTTAAAGCGCTGTTTTCATGAAATCTAGCGCTTTTTGTGTTGTCCTAGAGCTGAATGAGTTTTTTTTTATCTGGCAGCACTGCCCAAAAACCCTCTATTAAGAAGTAACTTTCCTTTCAGTTTTAAGCGCGTTCAGTTCCCAGTTACAGTGAGTGTGTGTTATGCGATGACCGTAAATAAAGCGCAAGGTCAAACTTTACGCGTTGTTGGAGTGTACCTCAGTACTGACTGTTTTGCACATGGCCAACTCTATGTTGCTTTTTCCCGCGTTAGTAGCCCCCGTAACCTTTTTGTGTATACCCCGGCTAAGCCTACTTCTAACGTCGTTTACACAGAAGCTCTATCATAAACGACTTAGAACTTTGATGATCAAAGATCAAAATTTTTGCGAAAGTGGGACCATTTTGCCCTCGCTGGGGACAGCGGGACAGACAGCCTGAAAGCGGGACTGTCCCGCCCAAAGTGGGGCGTGTGGTCGCGTTACGTATAAAGCGAAGTGGGAGCAAGATCTTTTACTTTCATCTTGGATCTCCAAAGCTAAAGATGATCCAGACTGTGTAACTGCAAATTGACACGCTGGCTGTCCACTTTAAAAGAGCATGCCGCTACTAGTAAACATCAAAAAAATAAGAGTGGACAACATGCGAAAGAATATTCTCTTAAATAAATTTAATTAAGACAAAAGCACGAAACAGATTTATAAACAAACATTTACTGTCTATCTTGTACGTTAAACAAGGCATAGGTGAGCATGGCGATTGCATTGCATTCAAACCAACGAATGATATGTTTAATTTTAATTTAAAAAAATATAGCATTTATATGTGTAGTTTTACTTTTCTTAGTTTAATACATACAATGGTAAATAAAGTTGGTAGTATTTAGGCATTTTTCACTACAGACTGGCAAGATTTGGCAGGTTTTTAACCAAAGTGAGGCAGGATCTGTAGTTTAAAGATGGTCACCTGCACTATATCAATTATTACCCAGCCTGCCAGAGCCTTCTATCATAATAATGGACAACGCTTCATATCACTCGAAACAAGTGAATAAAGCGCCTACTCAGGCCGACAAGAAAACTGATCTCGTAGCATGGCTACACCAAAATGGAATTGAAACTACTGCCGAAATGCTAAAGTCTGACTTAGTAAAGTTGGTACGCGAAAATAAAACATCAAGAGTCCGTTATGGAGTAGATGAGATAGCTCTAGCACATGGACATCGGGTACTTCGAATTCCGCCTTATCACTGCCAGTACAATGCCATTGAGCTAATATGGACACAAATCAAAGGTATTGTTTTTTATCGCGTAAGTTATGAATATGAATAATTTGTACTATTATAACATCCAATATTCAGCATATAAGTAAAAAGGTATATAACTAAGAAATAAATATCTCATGTCCCTTACATGTAGGTAATTGTGTAACATTTCGTTTATTTAATGTAATAAATTAACGTTATTTAATGTTTACATTACAGGTTACGCAGCTCGTAATAATACGACTCCGCCATTCAGTACTAATAAAATGATGGGTCTATTAAAAGATGCTTGCAGCAAAATAACGAAAGAAGATTGGGTCAAGGTCGTCGAAAAGACTCGAAAACTAATAACAGAAGATTATGAACGCGATATAAGAGTGGACACCATTATAGAGAATGAAATTGTCATACAAGTGACTGATAGCGATGACAGCTCTGGCGAATCTGGTTCAGAGTCTGAATAATTGTTTTAATAAATGATAGGTAGTCATTTATTAAAACATCTTGTACCTACTCTATTCATTAAAATGTGTAACAGTGTTTACAAATTTGTTTTATTTTGATATGTCCTCGACCAATTATCTACGCCCATCAAGGATACTCCACCTAATAAAGAACCTGTGTCTTTAACTATTATTGTTTTGATTTTATTTAATTACACACTATACTAGAATATTTAAAAACAAACTGTTCCCAAATGATATTAGGGTTACTGGTTCAGTCACTCCACTAGTATTGTCAATTCGTCATGTGTCAAATCGGTAATAACTCAGCGGCCGGACTATAATACCACAGAACTTGGTATATAGTGTATTATCTATGCACAGAACACTAAGGCCGGCCACATACATATGGAATTCCGTTTCGAGATTCCGTTTCGATATTCCGATTCGGGATTCCGAACGCAGCAAGTCCATATAAAATCTATGACCCATCACACACATACGTTATTTTTCCGTACGGAATTTCTCCGATTCGAGATTCCCTATGACCGCCTGTGCGTTCGGGATTCCTTTATTTCGAGATATTTTTTAAATATTTATGTATGTAAATTCTTTCGACGAATTATTAAATAAAATAAGATGATAGGTTATGAAAAGCTATCCGAAGAATCCCGAAACGGAATTCCGTATGTATGAGGCGGGCCTAATACCCTGACGGGGACACAGACGGCAGACCACAGAGTACATTTTGTATATACACGAAATGGTGTAGTAAACTCATAGACTTTGTATCTTAATATCATTCACAATAATAATAATAAATCAATCCTCAATCTACGAGTAAACTACATATATATTTATCTATGGTAGTAAATAGTAGACTAGTAGTAGTAGTACCTATCTAAATCTAAATGGCACAAATTATTATATGTACCGGTATATGTACATTGTACAATCTAGGGATAAGCTGATAAGATAAATAACATAAAAAGTTAGAAGCGCTATTTGAGTTTCAAATTACAATGAATATATCATAACATGATATTAATATATCAAGTATGTTTGGTGTACCTAAAACAATAGTGATTAGTGGTGATTAGAAACTCTTGGAGTACATTATTGATGTTTTTGAAATTTAAATTATACAATATTATGTATTGTACTGTAATTTGCTATTTTTTTAGCTCCCTCAATTTTTTGTGTGATGGTTTTCATTATTGATTTGATGTCGAATAAGTCAGACTTTGTTTTTGTGTTTATAGTTTTTAACTGATATATCCACATAAAAATATTTAAGCTTTAAAAATGAGTGAAACTGAGGATAACAAAGTAACCAATACTGATAATATCAATTCAGCCATAAAACCCAACGACGAAAATGATTACAAAAATAAAATGAAAACTAGAGGCAGAAAACGAAAAAGGTATAGATTCACTTTAGTTTGTTTTATTACTATTATTTTATTATTTCCAATAGTCTACATGCAATAGTGTTTATTATTGTAGTATGAGTTGTAATAAATGTTGTGTGTAGTATGAGTGAGATTGAGTGGTTCTATGGCCAATGTGAGTTACGATCCAAGAGCAAGTCTTATCCGACACTAATCCGTACGTCAGTCTGAGCGAAATTAGAATGGCTCTCCAGCACCTTCAAAATGAGGTGAGGATGGAATTACAGCGGAGCTTCTGAAAGCAGGTGGAAAACCGGTACTTGTAGTCCTTCAGAAGCTCTATAATTCCGTCCTTTATCGTGGCACTACACCGAAGCGTGGAGCAGAAGTGCAGTGAAGAAGAAGTGTGATTTTGTTCTTTAAGAAAGGCGACTAAGCTCTCTTAAAGAACTACAGACCGATTTCCCTTCTGAGCCACATCTATGTGCTGTTTTCGAGAGTCATTACGAATCGTCTCACATGCACTCCATGAATTCCAGCCTCCCAAACAAGCTGGTTTTTGAAAAGGCTTTAGCATCATAGACCACATACAAACCCTTCAGCAAATTGTACAGAAGTCTGAGGAGTACAATTTGCCACTATGTCTGGCGTGGACTATGAGAAAGCCTTTGATTCCGGCGGATTGAGCCTGTGATTTGGGCGGTGCTGCAGTCCCTTCAGTGGTGCCAAGTTGACTGTCAGTATATTGAAGTGCTGAAGTGTTTGTACAGTAAAGCTACGATGGCTATCCGAGTACAGAAACAGAGTACGAAACTTATCCAAATGAAGAGAGGTGTAAGACAGGATGATGTTATATCCCCGAAACTCTTCACCGCTGCATTGGAACACATTTTCAAGCTACTGGATTGGAAAGGATACAGTATTAACATCAACGGCGAGTTCATCACTCACCTTCGAATTGCCGACGATATAATCCTTATGGCAGAATCGCTGGAGGACCTAAGCACTATACTCTATGACCTCAATAATGTCTCCCAACAGATAGATCTTAAGATGAACATGGACAAAACAACGATCATGTATAACGTCCATGTCACATCTATACTGGTAGTTGTTGGGAGCATTAAGCTCGAAGTTGTTGACGAGTATGTTTACCTGGGACCAATAGGCCGACTAGGTAAGTCCAACTTCCACCGAGAAGTCAATCGATGGATTCAACTCGGCTGGGCAGCGTTTGGGAAATTACGGCACATCTTGTCAGGTATACCTCAAAACTTGAAAACGAGACACTGGCAACACGTATGAAATTGAGACGTGGTCCTTCACTGCTGGCCATATGAGGAAGCATAAGGTTGCTCAGCGAGCTATGGAGAGGGCTATGCTCGGGGTTTGTGGGTGTGATAAACTTAGAAATGAGGATATCCGCAGTGGAACTAGAGTGACCGACATAGCCCAACGGATTAGTAAGCTGAAGTGACAATGGGCCGGCTATATAACTTGAAGAAGTGACAACTGATGGGAAAAAAGGTTCTTGAGTGGCGGCCTCGTACCAGCGGACGAAGTGTAGGGCGTATCCCCACTAGACGGAGTGACGACCTGGTAAAAGATGCAGGTGGCTCAGGACCGTGCTTTGTGGCATTCCTTAGGGGAGGCCTATGTTCAGCAGTGGACTTGTGAAGGGCTGTAATGATGATGATTAGATAATTAAAAAAAAATGGTTGCATATAACGTAATGTCTGTAAGGATCACTCTATCTCAAAATTAATTATAAATTAACTAATAGCAATAGAGGTGGAGCAATTTCAGATTCTGCTGGAGCATTTAAGGAGCAATTATTTGGCATACGCTTTACTTTTAAAAAGTAGATATTTTATATTTTATAGCAAAATTAAATTTTCGATACCTAAATTTTTTAAAAATTAATTATAAATTAAGTAATAACAATAGAGGTGGAGCAATTTCGGATTCTGCTGGAGCATTTAAGGAGCAATTAATTGACATACAGTTTAATTTTAAAAAGTAGATATTTTATATTTTATAGCAAAATTAAATTTTCGATACTTAAATGTTTTAAAAATTATTTATAAATAAATTAATAGCAATAGAGTTAAAGCAATTTCGGATTCATCTGGAGCATTTAAGGAGCAATCAATTGGCACACGGTTTTATTTAAAACAAAATGATATATTATGTATTATAGCAAAATTAAATTTTTCGATACTTAATTTTTTTTTAAATTAATTATAAATTAAGTAATAACAATAGAGGTGGAGCAATTTCGGATTCTGCTGGAGCATTTAAGGAGCAATTAATTGACATACAGTTTAATTTTAAAAAGTAGATATTTTATAGCAAAATTAAATTTTCGATACTAAATTTTTTTTAAATAAATTTTAAATTAACTTATAACAATAGAGGTGGAGTAATTTCAGATTCTGCTGGAGCATTTAAGGAGCAATTAATTGGTATACAGTTTAATTTTAAAAAGTAATTATTTTATATTTTATAGCAAAATTAAATTTTCGATACTAACATATTTCGGTTTCGGCTGGAGCATTTATGAAGCAATCAATTGGCATACAGTTTAATTTTAAAAAGTAGATATTTTACATTTTATAGCAAAATTAAATTTTCAATACTTAAATTTCTTAAAAATATATTTTATATTAACTAATAACAATAGAGGTGGAGCAATTTCAGTTTCTGCTGGAGCATTTAAGGAGCAATTAATTGGCATACGCTTTAATTTTAAAAAGAAGATATTTTATATTTTATAGCAAAATTAAATTTTCGATACCTAAATTATTTTAAAAATTAATTATAAATTAACTAATAACAATAGAGGTGGATCAATTTCGGTTTCGGCTGGAGCATTTATGAAGCAATCAATTGGCATACAGTTTAATTTTAAAAAGTAGATATTTTACATTTTATAGCAAAATTAAATTTTCAATACTTAAATTTCTTAAAAATATATTTTATATTAACTAATAACAATAGAGGTGGAGCAATTTCAGTTTCTGCTGGAGCATTTAAGGAGCAATTAATTGGCATACGCTTTAATTTTAAAAAGAAGATATTTTATATTTTATAGCAAAATTAAATTTTCGATACCTAAATTATTTTAAAAATTAATTATAAATTAACTAATAACAATAGAGGTGGATCAATTTCGGTTTCGGCTGGAGCATTTATGAAGCAATCAATTGGCATACAGTTTAATTTTAAAAAGTAGATATTTTACATTTTATAGCAAAATTAAATTTTCAATACTTAAATTTCTTAAAAATTAATTTTAAATTAACTAATAACAATAGAGGTGGAGCAATTTCAGTTTCTGCTGGAGCATTTAAGGAGCAATTAATTGGCATACGCTTTAATTTTAAAAAGAAGATATTTTATATTTTATAGCAAAATTAAATTTTCGATACCTAATCTTTCTTTAATTAATTATAAATTAACTAATAACAATAGAGATGGAGCAATTTCGGATTCTGCTGGTGCATTTATGGAGCAATTAATTGGCATACAGTTTAGTTAAAAAAAAGAATGTTCTACGCTAACTTCCATCTGGTGAAGTTAGTTGTACAAAATCTTTCATTTTACCATTTGTTAAAAGTGCTAACTGACAAGTATTTCTTGAAAGATTTACACATAGCAAGCTCAGAGCTGTTTTGGGTACAGCATTGTTTTTATGGATATTCTGCACTCAGTCAATTGCCAGATCCTATTTTCACAATCAGTATCATTGTTATCATTACAGCCTTTCACAAATCCTCTACTAAACATAGACCTCTCTCAAAGAATGCAACAAATCATGGGCCTTGGCCACCTGCATCCTTCAATGTTTTACTTAACAGGCATCACTCTATCTAGTGAGGGACCTCCTTACACTTACCAGTATGAGGCTACCACTCAAGAACCTTTGCCCCTGTTAGTTGTTGGTTCTTCAAGCTATATAGCTGGCCCATTACAACTTCAGCTTACTGATCCATTTACAATCAGCAGTGAACCCATAAATTTAGTAGTCAAAATTGGAAAAATTGTTTTTACCTTATACCTAAGTATGCATGCAAATAGAAGCTTAAATCATCAATATAGCTACATCATCATATTTTATCAAAAAGTAGTAAAATGTTTAGTCCCAAGTTGAATATACTTTCTCAATCTAAACTAAGTACCTAAACAATGTTGGTAAAGTTAATTGAAACAATATCTATTAATCTAAAAATTGCATTTATTGTTTTATTTATTATAGCTATTTAATTTATTTATTTAAATATGTTTATAATTAAATTACTTGTTACTTTCATATGTTTATGACAGATTGGATAGTTCAAGTAGTTCAGACCCAGAAAGTATACTACCAGAAAACGCCCTAGTGATGGAGAAGAATTTACATGCTTCAGCTATCAAAAACAATTTGGATGACGCCAGTGTAAAAAAAATACTAAAGGTACACACATAATAATGACTGTTAAATATAATTTTATAAAGTTTCTGTAACTATAACCTTTAATTACATAAAATCATAAAATGTAATAATAACTCAAATTCTAAATTTAAAAAAACAGCTGATGATCTTGGAATGTCTGAACCAATTTTGATAAAACGTGTCTTATAACCACCGATAGAAAACCTGCTTTTAAGTAAAAAACTGCACCCAAATTGGTTCACCCTTTAAGAGGTAAGGTGCCACAGACAAATAGACAGACAGAGATACATAGCGGTCAAACTTATAATACCCATATTTTTGCATCAGGGGTTAAAAACTTGTGAAAGTAAAAAGTAAAGTTACAGCCTATAATACATACTCTGGACATAGGCCTCTCATTTCTGTGAGAACTTAAGGATAAGGAAGTGTCCACTATGCTGCCCCAATGCATGTTGGCAGTCTTCAAATATCTTCTAAATAATTGTGTTTTTTGTAATTTCTCAGACATAGGTTTTCTCATGATGTCCTTCACCACTGAGCATATGGTAAACCAGGGTTGTGCTTTAAAATTTACAGCCAGAGCCTAGTAGTTATTTTTTTTTAATTTCACTGCTCGGCTATGCAGTGTTAAACACTTCCACAATATGGAAGAAAATCCTAGTGTAAAGTTTTTTTTTAATTACATAAAAGTAATAATTAGTCCGGTTGTTTTTAAAATAAATGCCACATTATGCACATGTTTTTAAGTAGGTATGAAATTTAATATTTTAGTCAACTATAATAGTTTTCCAAGATTGTGTCGATATTGTTATAAGTTATTAGATTGGAGCTTTCAACTTAATAATTATTTTTGTTTCATCTTTTACAGAAAGTAGTAACAAATGATCATGTTCTAGCATTGGTAAAGTTAAGAGAAGAAGAAGAGGAGTCTAGCTCAGAAGAAAAGGTTAGACCCAAGCTGACCAGAGCCAAGGTTAAGTAAGTGTGAATTTTCTATTTTGTTATCTTCGATTATTTAAATTTCAAATGAAAACGACAATATTTAAAAGAAAGGAGTATTTTATTGCCACTCCAAGATCGGTCTTTACAGTGACCAAAAGTAGTTTAACTCAGCACATACTGATTAAATCATATGATGAAGACAGTAGAGTTGATATTAAAATTAATTAATAGCTTAACCTTAATAACTTTCTTCCATAATAAGTACCATACGTGCTTAGTATGGAAGAAGTATCTAAAGGAATATCATTATTATACATGAATCTTTAGAGATTTATTCTAAATTAAGAAATCAAAATTCTCATGCTTGGATTAGATTAGATTATAAATGGTTGTTTTCCGCAACTCCACGTCTTGCCAGCAACATGTGGGCAGTCCTTTCTTCCTCCCCCATACATGTCCTGCACAGGGGACTATCTGTAACCCCTATGGTAAATAAATGTTTGTTTTTTGTTTGTTTGTTTCCTCTCCTGGTCAGTTCGTCTGCTGCATCATTATCCCTGGATCCACTGTGTCCCTTGATCCATTGCAGAGTCATATTGTTGTGTTTACATACCTCATTTAGTTGTTGATGTCAGTCATATATTAGTCTCAAGTTCACCACATTGTAACTTAGAGCTTGTAGTACCGCCATGCTGTTGGTCAGTATTCAATGCTCATACTTTGTCACTCCTGACCACTACAATACAATGCCTTTTCACTAGTATAAAGGGTTTCCAGTTCTCAATCTAAGAGTCAAAGATGTAATGCTTGTTATCAGTAAAAAGGACCTCTGTATTTCAGTTCTCATCACAAAACACAGCAGAATTATGCAGCTATTTTACGCTGATATTCTGTATTCTCTGGCATCTCATTACACTTTACATCTTCACACCTTACATATTGATAGATTATGCTGTTAATCTATGGGGACAAATGGGGAAAGATAGGGATGTGACATAACTTATATTAAAAGAAAGAAGAAGTACAATTTTTTTTGTTGTAGTAGATTCTTTGACTAGACTATAAGATAAGTGTTTTGTGATTGATTAGGAAGCACCTCAAGAACTTTGATATTTGGTACACTAATTATTGACAGGACCTCTAAGCTAAGAATCTACTGCTGTCACACTGTGCCTGAGATAGACATCCAGAAGGGATAACTACAGCTCCAAATGATTTAGCCTGTATTCCCCTGTTTCCTGCTCAAAAACTAGACCGATTATAATTCTTAATTTTCTTTCAAGAACCGCTTATGAAGGATTGCCTAAAAATTTGTCTTCTGGATGTCTATTAATGGCGTTATAATTGGGACTAAATAATTAATAAGATTCCTGGTTTTTAAAACAATTAATCTATGGAGATAAAAGTGTAAAGGAAATGGAAACTATTATTAACTGCCAGCTCATGTGGTACCTTGACAATCACCAGCTAATTAGTAACCGCCAGCACGGGTTCCGTCGAGGTCGCTTGGCTGGTGATCTTCTAGGTTACCTAACTCATAGATGAACGGAGGCAATGGAGTCCAAGTGGGAGACGTTGCCCTAAATCTAGTCCAGTTTAATCTTCAGAAGACACAAGATTGCGCGTTTACCGCTAAAAAGAACCCCTTTGTCGTATCTCCTCAGTTTCAAGGTACTCCCCTTGTTGCCTCAGCCAGTATCGGAATCCTCGGCGTCGACATATCGAGTGACGTGCAGTTTCGTGGTCACTTGGAAGAGAAGGCCAAATTGGCCTCTAAAAAGCTTGGCGTGCTCAGCAGAGCAGGACAGTATTTCATGCCAGCTCAACGCCTGCAACTTTACAAGGCGCAGGTTCGGCCTTACATGGAATACTGTTCCCATCTCTGGGCAGTGCCAGTGCCAGCTCCTTCCACTTGACTGCATGCAACGCAGAGCAGTTCGAATCGTCGACGACCGAGTTCTTTCCGATCGTCTTGACTCACTGGCACTGCGTATTTTATCGCATTTGACATATGCCCGAAAGCACTGATCCATTTTTTGATATCTCTTTTAGATACAAAGATGGGTTTTAACATTAATCGGACCATACTTCATTCATCTAATCACCACCTAATTATGAATTATGTGTAATGAGGTCGTCATACTGAAAATCCTGAGCTCTAATTTACTAATGGACTCAAGTCTAGTAATAACATCCACTAATTATCTATACATATTATAAAATATAGCAGTATGAGAGTCAACAATTTTTAATATTTTCACTGTATTATCAGAGAATTGATGAAAGTATCGCCGAAGTCTGCACCTTGGAACTTGGAGAATTTAGAGCTAACTCCAATCAAGCACATTCCAATAAAGACGCGACCTGAAGTGAAAGCCCTTATAGCACAAGAACTGCCAGAGGATGAAGACGATGATGAGTACCAGCCAACACATGATGATGTACAAGTGAGGAATTTTGTTATTTTATGGTTTATAATTTAAATAGAATATAATATATTATTTAAATGATGTAAAAGCTTGAGTAAAGTAACAGTCTACATTTGATGACCTGATTCTGCATATGTTTTGTAGAGATCTATAAATGGGCTTACATGCCTCGTGAAGCCAAAGAGATAATATACTATGTTTCCCTAGATTTGTCCTAGTTTTGATGGTGTCTGGGAAGGGTTCACAAAAGTCTCTAGGTAAAACCACACAACTCTTAAACAACCTTTTACAGAAGGGAAAACATTTTAGCAAAAATTGGGAAGAGTAAAAAGTAAGATAATTTTAAACAAAATGATTTTGTCAAAATATGTGGTTGATCCATGCTGCAGCTATATTACTCGTATAGTTATAGCACGAATGGGTCGGCTCGACCGGTGAAGGACCACGCTCGCATAGAATACCAGCATAAAATAGCAGGTTAACGCTGCTGTGTTTCGTATGGTGAGTGTAGAGAACCGGAGACCCTTTTTACTGGAAACAAGGTATTCCATTTTAGTCCTTATGGGTGACAACGCATCTGCATTTTGATTCGTAATCGAGGATATATGTAGATGTATATGGGCCACAGCAACCATTTACCATCAGCAGGGCATGGGCAGGAGACAATTTTATCCCCGGGGAAAGGAGAAAATGTTTATCCCCTTGCTTAGTTTTATTCACCCTTCGTGGCATGGGCATGGGCAGACTGGTGGATATAATATCCATAGTAGATAAAATGGGAGATAGACTTAGATAGATTTTTTTGTATGAATATAAACTTAAACCCACATATAATGAACTAGGATAGAATGGCCCCTTCCAAATGTCAAAAAAGCATAATATTTTATCTTTCATTTGGCTCCATGCTACGGATAGGTCTACTCGTTATGTCAAACGGGGATATACTTCTTCCCGTTGCCTTATTTTGGCATAGGGACAAGATAATGTTATCTCTTGTCAGTGGATATAATCGGTGGTAAAATTTTTGTCCCCAGCCCATGCTAGCCGTGCAGGTGGACTGTGTGCTCGTTTGTCACCCTTATTCTATAAAAAAATATGTGGGATTTATTTCTAAATTACAATCAATATTTAGTTTATAATTTTATATTTTTTTCATTCCTGGGCAACATAAAAGCCACATAAGTGTGCATTATTTAGGGTCTTATTCGTGTTGCATTGTGGTCAAACCAATATTTGGAAATCAAATTGGATAATTAAAAGTTTTTAGTCTTAGTTGGGTTTTGATTTCTTTGTTTTATAATTCAGTTTATCTTTACATAATTGAATTTCTTTTCATATAACGAAGTTTATGTTTTAGAAATTAGTACGGCTTTCTTTTATTTTATGACATTATCTTATTATTCAACAGAGCGATGACGACCAAACTCTGGAATCAGTTAGCGACATTGAGTCGCAGCCTCGGACGCCTGCGACACCAAACGTTTCTAGTCCCAAAGTCGTGAAAGACGGTCCATTCAAAGTGCCACAGGTATTGTATGTAATTTACGGGGTCATAGAAGGACTGTAACATATACCATAGAATTGGTCTGCTTGGCATTGTGAAAAAACTGTATGCCTAGGTGTTCATTGAAAAAGTTATGAAAGTAACAAACAAAAAAATTAGCGACGTGCAAGTTAGATTTTGAAAAGGGATATGTTGTATGAATGAGGGATTTTCCAGTGCATGATCACAGATAAGTTTATGACGTTTAACATTAGAACGTTTTCTGTGCATTTATAGACTTCAACAGGGTTCATGACAAGTTGACAAGATTGCTTATGGCAAACACTGCTCTCATTTAGATAGGTACTCTAGGTCAAAAAAGCACATATTAATGCAATTCACAATGCTATGTTAGTCACTACCTTAATATATGATAGTGAAAGCTGTGTGGCAGATTATCTAGAATCTGTGATGTTAATGCTATCATGATGCGATCATTAATATGTATGTTAGGGCTGACTCTGAATGATAGGATGAGAAATTATGTGATTATGAGTAGTGTGGTTTGCAAAAAGCGAGTTAACTCAAGTTGAAATTCACGCAACTCGAGTTTAAACTGGAGTTTGCAATTCGAGTTAGCAGTACGAAACAGTAAATGATTTGTTACAAATAAATTTTTTATAAAATTGTTTTTCTATCTAGCTCTTTGGGGGGTTGGGATAACCATAATTACCAAACTTATAATGTAGGATTGAAATAAATAGGTATATTTAGTATGTATCACATACTTATGTATATTTGGTTTTAATCTTAGTCATAGTAAGTACTTCTATTTAACAACAAAACTAGCTATATAGCAGTCTTCACGAAACAATATTAGTCTAGCTTTAAGGTGTAGGTACATAAACTATTAATATTTTAACTATCACAGTTAAAATATTCTTAAATAAATTCAATTTTTTCAATTCATTTAAATTACATAACTTAGCTATTACAAAATTCTAAATAACAAATTGTTTTTGTTGTAGCTATATACTCTTTGAAACACAAACGCGCACGCAACGATTCGCGCTCTTACTCTTTTGCTGGCTCACTTGATCCGTTCATGTATAGCAGCGCAAACTAGAGTTAGGGAGATCCAACTGGAGTTAAGTGGAACTCGAGTTAACTCTAATATTAGATTCCTTATGTAAATACAACAGTTCCAGTTAGTTGTTATGGCTCATAACGTTATGGCGTCGTTATGTTGAGTAAGGGACTAAGGGGTCGCCCTAAAAGGGGAATGCCCACCGTTCATAGACACTTCGAACATGGATTCCCACATATAAAAACATATGAAAATGATAATAGGCAATTAAAAGAATGAAATGGTTAAGGAATTGGTTTTAAAAAAGTCCGGATTTTTAAGATATAAAGGCTTTTTTTTTATTTTCACAAGAACAGTTTTTAACAACAAATGACTTCGTATTTTCGTGACACTTAAACCACAATGGACACAGCGTAAATGTCCTCTTGAATGAATTACTGAGAACTGGGAATAACTGGTGTGTGTAAAAAGTGTAAAAGCTGGGGTCATCGTTAACAGTGGATATCGAGTCCAATTTCGTGGTGGGAGCGGGATCCATTTTCAGGCCGTGGTCAATAGGGTGAGAAGAATTATCGGAGTCCATTTAGAAAGCTTATTCGTTGCTTATATAACAAATCTGCGAGAAAACAAACAAAATAACACAAATGCAAAGGAATTCAGCTTGTGACTATTTAGTTTTGATAACTATGACATAGGCCTAGCTGTCAGATTCGATGTTGCCAATTAACAGACATAAAATTGGTAAATAGATAGCGATTTTTTTATTCGATTTATAATTTCATAAAAAAGAATAATCTAATAATCTTTAAGTTCTGCACGCCTTTTAAAATATGTTTTGTTTTATTTATTTAAATTCCATTTTAAATGTATTTTTAAGAGCAGGTAAGAATAACAGTTAAATTGTGCAGTAGCGTTTTTGTTATGTTCTAAAGAGTTCATGGTAAATTTACTAGCAATTCGCTTGTTTAATTATCATAAAATCATAATAATTATCGAAAAATAATATTACCATAATAATACACTGTATAATGACACCATAAAATAATCGATTGATAAAAACAGAATCGACTTTTTTAATGAGATTTGTAATTGGCAACACTTTATTTTATCCACAAAGTAATGACTTGCGGATTTACCTAATTTCATTTTTATCTTTTTATCTTTTCGGTACTTTTTTTGTGCAAAAATATTGCAATCTTTTTTGGATACATAAATATCGCGATTAATTACCATAAAAAAGATGTATTTTTTTTACAAATGCAAATTGTTGGGCTTTCATGGCCAGAATTGGGCATCTCCATTTCATAGTATTCAAGCAAACCCAATTCGATCCCCGTAGGTGGCATAGTTATAAGTCACAAATGTATATCTTTAAAAAATAAAAAAAATATTTTGAGGACATAACGCTAACACTCACTGGGACAGCCTAGCAGATTCTTTCTTGTGCAAAATCTCTCACAGAAATGAGAGAAGCCCTGTTTTTTACCATGGGGATGTTATGTATATTGACTTTAAGTTAAAAAAATTGTCAGATCAAAAGGGCTGTTAATTTTGAAAACCATTTTTTACCCTCCGATTACATTTAAATGATTAGAAGGGCAAGGTTTCCTTCTGCCAGTTTCAAATTAAAATCATTTATTGTGCCTAATTATTTGTTTTCACATACCTACTTTTACAACATCAATCTTTTAACTATGAAGTTGAACAAATGGGTTTATTTAGCAATGATTTTATCTAAATCTAAATGTAACTTAAAGATAGATGATAATTATGTTATTGTTTCTAAATAAATATGTCATGTGGTATTAATTTAAACAATTAATTGCGAACAGAACATGACAACACCATCACGCAGAAAGCTAAACCTAGACGAAGAGGCCACAATAGCACTCCGTACTAGATCGAAATTGAGTCTGTCGGAAACGCCCATAGAGCACATAGAGAGTTCGTTTGTTCCACCCGATGACGTGCCGACTGTTGACGTTGACGATCCCGTCTGGAACGAGTTTCTGGAGGAATGTTTAAATCCAGCATCCACGTCTTTTGCAAGGAATGAAGATGACGACGATGCTGACCCGGAGTATAATGTCGCTGCGGACCCTGATGCGAGTAAGATTTAATTTTGTACGATTTTTAAACTCAGCTCCTATTTTGCTCAAACTTTTAGATTTTTCTTTTCAGATATATAGTATTCCTTCTAGTTTAGTATAGCTGGTTTCTGTACTTGTATACTCACAGAAATATATTATGAATACCCGTATTTAAGTTTCTCTGGTCTGTTAATGAATTATGTCTTCGATTTTCCGTAGATACAGTCATGCATAATCGCTGGACACATGATTTTTTTAAACTGACTTTACGGCTCTGGGTTCTAGCCCTTCTGCGCCTGCTGGACACATGAGTCACGTAGACAACATAGAGTGGCGACCTCAAAGAGACCAGCAAGGAGATGTTATATGCACGACTCAGCAACGCGATTATGTAGTTGTTTTGGGAATCGTTTGCGGGAATAAATACGAAATTGGTTTTTCATTATGATATTATTCTTTGAAATGATATTATTGTGTGAATGATAAATAATATAAAAAATACATCAGCTTATAATCGATACTGATAAATTTACACAATTAATTGTTCAACTACGATACCTACAAGAGTTATACAATCGCACTCCAGGGTCGTTATACGTGGTTTTTGTGGACTTAAATTTTGATGATAAAGATTTATAGCTTGGCTACAAATGAACGGGCTAAATTTCTGATGCTACGCACACATGTGAAGCGAGGCTCTTGAGAATAATGAGGAAGCAGTTTTCCTTGATGGGAGATAGTAATTGGGCATGGTTTATTATAAGTAAAAAAAAACCACTTACTTTTCTGTTCTTCCTCATCATCAGGTCAACTGCTAGAGATATTCTTTTTTATATAGTCATAATCGCAACACAAATAGCTTTTATTTTTTGATTAATTTAACAGTTCACCTAATCGCAATCGATTGCACCATGCAACCGGCTAAACCTAGGTGTGTAAACGCGCTTCAAGTAGTTGCTTCAGTAACATATTATACAAGATTGTTATACTGCCATACATCAGAAGCTTGAGATATTCCTGAAATTTTTTACAACTCCCGATACCCTAGGACCTAGGAGACCCGCCTGCCAAGAGTGGCAAATATGGCAAATGTCCCCCTTAGGAGACAATCTATGGGAGGCCTATATCCAACAGTCCACTGTCTGATAGGCTGTAGTTATAGTGAACATTTAAATATTTTTATTTTTATTTAAGATGATGATGATGAAGAAGCACTCGAGAATAACATAATCAAAATATCAAAAAAAGAACTCAGTGATTTAGTAACAGAACTGTTCAGCATTATGCCGGAAGCGACGACACAGGATGAACTTGCTGACAATCTTGCAAATAACGTTTTCACCGAGAATAATATTACTGAGGTATGTAAGCATCATTTATTAATTAATAATAAATGCCTGCCTATTTGGCCTCGCTTGTATGGAAGCCTAATGGCGCTCAGCGAGCTAGGGAGATGGATATCCGGAGTAACCAACAGATCAGTGAGTTGATATGACAATGTGGAAGCTATATAGCTCGAAGAACCAATAACTGATCGGGGAAAAGATTCTCGAGTGGTAGCCTCATACCAATATGGGAGCTTCTCGGAGTAGACGGAGTTACGAACTGGTAAGACCTTCAGAAAGTCAATGGATGCAGATGGCTCAGGACCAGGTTTGGAGGTCTATGTACAGCAGCGGATATGCGAGGGGCTATAATGATGATGATGATGTGGAGGAGGAGATGATACTATCCATTAAATTCATTTATTACAGCCTATAAAAGTCCACTGCTAAACATAGGCCTCCGTCATATCCATTTTGTCCCATTTTTCCTCATAAGGGGGATTTTCTCATAGTTGACACGCCTGAGAGATGGGTTGGCAACCGTAGTTTTTATAATTTTCAGTTATTATCAGAAAGATGCTGCTGCCCATCTTTTGTTTCAGTTTCCCTCTGACGCCTCTTATATGAGACGATATGGGCTATTGGATATTCTTATGTTCTTACACTGCCACTACATGGTTAGAAAATACTATGGAAAATACTATAGAGATTTTGTATTTGCTGTTATTATTTATTATTATTTGAGCAAAAATTACGATTATTAGGTTTAAAACGAGACATAGGTCTAATTACTTTCAATACCGTTACCGTTACAGCCTATTAAAGTCCACTGCTGAACATAGGCCTCCCCACAGATTGAGGATATTTGAGGATATTGTGGAAGGTTGGCAACCACAGTTTATTTTTTATTTTTAGTCGTTATTAGAAGAATGCTGCTGCCCATCTCCTGATTTGTTTCTCTCTGTCGCCGTTTACAACACCCACGGGATGATATGGAGTAGTGGATATTCTTACACCGCCACTACACAGTAACTTTCAATATATCTACGAAATTTTACCAAAGGCAACTTCATAGTAATTTCAATATAACTTACAACTCTGATTATTTTTTGTTCCATTTTTCCATAGATAACATGAGCACGTATTTTTGTTACCTTATGACATTATTTTTTTATAGGAGAGGGGGAAAACGAGCATACGGCTCACCTGATGGTAAGTGACTACCGCCGCCCATGAACAACTGCAACACCAAGGGAGTAAGCTCTTTTCTTGAAGGTCCCTAAGTCGTATCGGTCTGGAAAAATCGCCGGTGGTAAGCTATTCCACAGAGAGGTCGTACGCGGAAGAAAACTCCTAGTGAAACCTGCAGTGGTGGACCGCCAAGCATCCAGATGGTGTGGACGGTATTGGGAGTATTGCCGCAATGTGCGTTCGTGAAATTCGGTGGCTGGGATTAATCCGAACAATTCCTCAGAGCACTCCCCGTGGTAAATGCGAAAGAAAATGCAAAGGGATGCAACATCTCTTCGCGAGGCCAATAAATCAGCCGCTCTGCGCCGGATGTGGTCAAGTGTAAGGAGCTGGCACTGGGGAGCCCCTGCCCCGAGATGGGAACAGTATTCAATGTGAGGCCGAACCTGCGCCTTGTAAAGTTGCAGGCAGTGTGCCGGCATGAAATACTGTCTCGCTCTGCTGAGCACACCAAACTTTTTAGAGACTAATTTGGCCTTCTCTTCCAAGTGACCACAAAACTGCACGTCACTCGATATGTCGATGCCGAGGATTTCGATACTGGCTGGGGAGTGCCTTGAAACTGAAGAGATACGACAAAGGGGTTCTTTTTAGCGGTAAACGCCAAAATTTGTGTCTTCTGAGAATTAAACTGGACTAGATTTAGTCGCCCCCAATCCGAGATTTTGTTCAGCAAAAACTCTACTTCAGTTTGTTCCGATACTCGGCGACGTTTTCCCGAGAAATATTGCCACGGCCGGTGTATAGAGCATCACCAGTGCTGTCATCCGCATAGCAATGAATGTTACCGGTTTGCAACATATCATTGATATGCAGAAGAAACAGCGTTGGTGACAGCACGCAGCCTTCTGGAACACCAGCGTTAATAGGCTCGTAGTCAGAACATGCACCGTCTACAACGATCTTGATGTTCCGATCTACAAGAAAGCTGGTGATCCAATTGGGCAATTTCTCGGGAAGCCCATAGGAAGGGAGCACTTTGTGCCAAGCCCGATCGAAGGCCTTCGAAATGTCCAAAATAACGGCCAATGCCTCCCCCTTGCACTCTATTGCCTCCGCCCATCTATGAACCAGGTAGACCAGAAGATCACCTAATCAACAGCGGCCACTAATCAGTTGGTGATGCTCAAGGTGCTGCATGAACTGGCAGTTTATAATGGATAACATTATTTTGGAGAACAAGGAGGCGTTGGCGATAGGCCTGTAGTTAGATGGGTCTGAGCGGTCGCCTTTTTAGGGATCGGGTGGACAAAAGCCGTCTTCTTGATTTCGGGACTACGCCTAGGGACTAGGAGTACCGGAAAAAACGCATTAGAACCGGTAACAACTCCGGAGCACACATCCTCAACATAATTGGGGGGATTCCGTCAGGCCCACTTGACTTGTAGATGTCCAGGGAGATGAGTGAACCGAACGCTTTGAGAACCGCACATCCGGCATGAAGCACTCACACCGCAAGATGGTCGGTGGTGTATTCCCCCCGTCATCGAGAGCCGAGTTGGACGCAAAGAAAGAGCCTAGCAGATCGGCTTTCTCCTTTGCGGCATGGGTCAGTGAGTCGTCCTTCCTGTGCAGAGATGGAAGAGATGGCTGACAGAAGTTCCCTTGGACAGCCTTGGCGAGACCAGAATATAAGGGGAACTAGTTTCTCGCCAATTCTGCCTATGTGCTCTGACTGCCTTGGCAATGACTCTTTTGAAGGACCTGGAGGCGGAATTATACTTCTTTTTAAGGGCGCTGGTGTTTGCATCCCGGGACGTTGATGCGTCAGACCAAGTCCGGTAGAAGTCCTGCTTGTAGCGTGATGCTATTTTACAGGAGCGATTAAACCATGGCTGAGATCTGCCTCCGATGGGCACCACAGAGAAAGGAATAAAAAGTTCCATACCCTGAAGTACCACATCAGCAACAGAATTAGCAACAACGTTGGAATCTTACGGTGAGAAGCAAACCCGCACCCGAGGGTAGGATTTTTTTTTTATATTGGATAGGGTGACAAACGAGCACACAGTCCACTTGATGGTAAGTGGTTGCTGTAACGACATCCACATCTATCCTCAATAAAGAATCAAAATGCAGATGCGTTGTCACCCGTGAGGACTGAGATGGAATGCCTCTTTTCCAGTAAAAAGGGTCTCCGGTTCTCTACACTCACCATACATCAGCATCTCCATCACCATACATCAGCGTACGGCTTATCCCCTGGCCTAATTGTCTGGGTGAAGGACTTTCTGAGTGAACGGTTTCTCCGGATCGTCGTTGATGGCTGCTCATCCGATACTGTGGCGACTAACGCCGGTGTTCCTCAGGGGTCCGTTCTCTCCGCAACTCTCTTCCTGCTGCATATAAATGATCTGCTCATTCCGGGTGTCTATGGGTATGCAGACGACAGCACAGTTGTGAAGAGATACCAACCAAGCGCCCAGGCCAGTCGGGATCAAATCCAGTCAGAAAGAGAGGCTATGGTTGAGCGTGTGAGTCTCACACTACAGGCAGTCTCCGAATGGGGCGATGGCAATCTCGTGAGATTTAACGCCTCCAAAACACAAGCGTGCCTTTTTACCGCTAAAAGGAGCCCTCTCACCTTGGCTCCTACTTTCCGGAATGTATCCTTGGAGTACACTGACCGCCTTCAGTTGTTAGGGATTGAATATTCTCCGAACCTAAAATATTGGGCGGTTCATTGAGTCCAGAGCCAAAGCAGCCGCAAGGAAACTTGGTGTCCTTGCAAGGGTGCGGCGGTACTTCACGCCGGGGCAACTTCTTACTTTATATAAAGCGCAAGTCCGGTTGTGCATGGAGTACTGCTGTCACATATGGGCTGGTGCTGCAAAATGCCACCTGGCAGCATTGGACTCCGTGGAGAGACGTGCTAAGAGGCTCATTGGTGACCTTGATTTGGTTGAAACCAATCTTGTCAGCCTCGAGCACAGGCACAGAGTAGCCAGTCTCTCGGTATTCTATAGGATGCATTTCGATGAGTGTGCGCAGGAATTACACGCCTTAATTCCTCCCTCTCCTTTCCACCATTGGACAACCATACGGTCGGCGGGTCTTCATCCCTTTGTTGTCGATATTCCACGCATTAAAACCAAACGGTTTGCTTCATCTTTTGTAATGCGTACAGCAAAGGAGTGGAATAATTTGCCGGCGTCTATCTTTCCGTCCGAATACAGTCTAAGCGTCTTCAAGGCAAAAGTGAATAGGCTTTTGTTACGATAAGACAGTGCGATTTACCATCTAAGGCTGCATCACCACTTACCACCAGGTAGGATTGTGGTCAAGCACTGGCTTATAATAAGTAAAAAAAAAAAACGAAACACAGCAGTGTTAGGCTGCTATTTTACGCTGGTATTCTGTGAGAGCGTGGTCCTTCCCCGATCGAGCCGACCCATTCGTGCTACAACTATACTACTAATATAGCTGCAGCATGGTTCTACCACGTAAAAAAGACCGAATCCATCTCAATCGGCCGACCTATAGTGCCAAATACGGCGGCAGCCTGCAGAAAGCAAGCGCGGTTTCAGCGTGAGTGGCACTGTCCGGACTCTGGACTAGACAATGGTCCGAGGATCCAAGGGGGGCGTCGACGGAGACCTGATATCTGTTCGGATGAGAGGTCAGCAGAAGGTCCAACTGGGAAGGTGCATGATCCTCCACATCTGGAATCCGCGTAGGCGTAGTAACCGGTTGTGTCAGACCATATGCCAAGGCAAAATCATGAACAGATCACTCCGCATGATCGGTTAAACGTGAACCGAGCCATTCGGTGTGGTGGGCCTTAAAATCGCCAAGGATCACGATCTCTGCGGATGGGAGCAAGTTCAAGAGTCCCTGTTGTAGCAAGGAATCTGTAGCTATTTGGACGTGGTCGATGAATCGGTCTGTTTCGGCATTACCGCTATGGGACCTATAGAGGTACCCGTAGACGCGCGGATGGTCGTCGCTGTCTACGCGTAGACAAAGGATGGATAGGTTCGAATCTTCAAGACTGCCGAAGCGTCGAGAACAGATCTCCTCTCTGACGTGTACGCAAATTCCAACTCTGGCTACCTGCACTCACCAGATAAAACTCAGAAGCAGAGCTTCCACTTCACGCTTGTATTCTGTGAGGCGGTGGTACCAACCGGGCTCGAGCCGGCCCATACGTGCAACAGCAAAAGCTGCCCCGTGGCCCTACCATCGTTACATTAGAATTTTCCATTAGAAGGTTATATCAGCGACTGACATTAGGTAAACTCAAACAGTGTATATTTTCACACAAAATAGCGTTAAGATTGATGTGTTGTTATATTACAGGAATATATTTATTCTAATTGTAGCTATGTCTAACATATAACAATCAACATGTATAAATGTAAAAAGTATGAATATAATGTAAAGTATGTGTATATACTTCAAATGCTTACAGAATAATATTTGGAAAGGAAAAAAAGAGCCAATGTCAGATGAAGAAATGTTAGTTATTGAAGAAACTACTACAGTGGAGAGAAGAAAAAGCATTACTTATCTATCAGTAGGAAAAAGCGAGCCGGAAGATCACCAAACAAATACTGAAGAAGAAATGCGCAATGAATCAGAACAACAGAAAGGAGAAACAACAACAACAGCAACAACGACACTAACAACAACACTAGCAACTAGTACAACAACAAATACAATTGAGTAAGAATATATATATATATATATATATATATATATATATATATATATATATACAAAAATGTTTTAACCGTTTCTACATAGTGTAAAACAAAGTCGCTTCCCGCCGTCTGTACGCTTAGACCTTTTAAACTACGCAACGGATTTTCATGCGGTTTTCATCAATAGACGGAATGATTCAAGAGAAAAGTTTATATTATGTATATGTCACAATCTTCTGTTCGTGTGTATGTGACTGAACCCCTCCTAAACAGCTGGACTGATTATGAAATTTTGTGTGTGTGATTAAGTTGATTAGAGAATGGTTTAGATTCACAATTGAACCCGTTAGGTGGCGTTGTTGCCGAGATCCAGAAATTAAGCGTGCGAAGCCCGGGTGGATAGCTAGTTTTTAGTATAAGAGGCGACAACGAATTGACTAAATTATCGTTAGAATGGCTTATTTAGTATCAATAGCATGTAGATTACTGATGTGAATGGAATGGATCCGGTCTGCGCCTGCATAACGTTAGCGCGTTAAGTACGAGAGCAGGTCAAAAAGTTCGCGGAATGACAGGGAAGGATAAGAAATGAAACATTAAACTATTTTTCCTTTTCAATATATTCTCCCTTAACCCTAATACGAGGGCGGCACTGAACATTTCGGGAATCAAGGAAGTGACACAACATTACTATTTAAAAATGTATTTATTGCTTTTCGAAGTATTCTCCGCGAAATTTGACACAATTTTCCATACGATGGAACCAATCATTGAAGCAACCATTCCATTCGGAAGTTGGGGTCTCCAAAATGGCCGTTTTGTAGGCGTCCACAGCTTCTTCAGGTGATGAAAATCTCCGTCCACGCAATTTATTCTTTATTTTAGGGAAAGTATAGAAATCATTAGGGCTTAGGTCGGGGCTGTACGGCGGATGGTCTAATAATTCTATGTTTTCTTGCTCTAAAAACTCTTTTGTTCTGTGTGCGGTGTGAGAACTCGCATTGTTGTGATGGAGGATGATGCGGCGGTTGCAGTTCTCTTTACGGAGTTCAGAAACGACCTGTGGCAAACAAATGCTAGCATACCATTCTGCATTAACCGTTCTTTGTCCCTTAAGAGGAATAGTCGTAACATGGCCGGTTTTGGAGACAAACGTGGCCACCATTTTTTTTTGCAACACTCCGTGAACGAACCATTTTTGTTGGCTTTAACTCATTTTCGAACACCCAAACTCGTGACTGGTTTTTTGTGTCGGGTTCGTACGCGTATATCCAGGATTCGTCACCTGATACGATGTTGTATACAGCATTTGAGGATCCTGCGTGGAATCTTTCGAGAGTTCTGACGCACCAAGTAACGCGAGCCGCTTTTTGCTATTATTTGTATTTGACTCATGCCAATGTCTAAAGTTGCCTGAATTTCGCGGTATGTCACATGTCGATCTTCCTCAATCAGCTTACGCACAGCATCAACGTTTTCTTGGGTGACTGCAGTTTTTGGACGACCTTGACGGGGATCATCACTGAGCTTGACACGTCCACGTTGAAATTCAGCAAACCAGCGATAAATTGTGGTTTTGGATGGGGCTTCATCACCAAATGCCACCACTTCGAAAGTCATAATAAATCATCGCTCTTGAATTTTCTCTACGACTAAACAAGTTTCAAAAAACCTTGTGACAAGACCGAGAATCCTTTTTTAAATAAATAAATGGTATTCGATTTTTAAAACCAAGGACTTTTCAATTAAAAAAAAATTAATATGACAGGAACAGAGGAAATATTCCATTCCCGATACTTTTAGTGCAGCCCTCGTACATTCATTAGATCTGTCAAATAACTTATTAATACCGTCTAAAAAAAAAGACTTGTCTTGGACGTCGAAATAAGCCGAAATTGCCGACTTCACTTTATCATCGGCGCCAAATTTTTTCCCACGCAGTTCTTGCTTCATTTTTGGAAACAAATAATAGGTCGCTTGGGCCCAGGTCTGGGCTGTAGGGTGGGTGGCGCAGTTGTTGAAAACCGCACCGGTGAACGGCAGCCGTCGCAACATGGCTTGTGTGCACGGGCGCATTGTCGTGCAAAAGGAGCATGCCTTTTGTAAGTTTTCCTCGTCTTTTTTCTCCAATAGCTTCTTTTAATTGATCTAATAAAGAAGTGTAGTATTATCCCGTTATGGAAACACCACGTTCCTTATAATCAATCAAAACGATACCTTCTGTATCCCAAAAGATCATTGACATGATCTTTCCGGCCGATTGAGACACCTTATACTTCTTAGGAGAGGGTGTACCACTGCATCGACTCTTGTTTTGACTCAGGTTCATAATGGTAAACCCAAGTTTCATCGCCAGTTACAATTCGGACCATAACTTCCTCCCTTTGCTCTCCACAGAGGTCCAAAAACTCGCGACAACTTTCGACGCGCTCGTGTTTTTGATGCACAGAAAGTATTCTCGGAACCCATCTTGCACAGACTTTAATCATGCCAAGATGTTGATGTAGGATGTTTAAAATTGTTGTTTCTAATACTCCAACCAACGCTGTAAGCTGTTTTTTTCTTTAGCCGGGCATCTTCCGATGCAAGTTTTTTCAACTTTTTCGATTATTTCTAGCGTGGTAGCCTCAATCGGTCGTCCAGGTCGGGGGTTGTCTTCAATGGAGTCCTTCACTTGTTTGAAAAGGGCGTGCCATTTATAATTCATAATTTTCCCAAGAGCGGAGTCCCCATTGTTCGAGACAATTAAAAACTGCCGAGTGAATTACCAAAATTGACACTTTAATTACAGAACACTAATTACAACTCCAAACCACATTTGTACTACTGATCACTTTAGTTCGCAGTTGTATCGCTTCGAAGTATTCGCTTTTTCAATACTGACTCGGTCGTGGTCTATACCGGCCTTATATAGGGCCTCAGATAGTTTCCAGAACCTTCTACTGTAGAAACATCTATACTAGAATTATTTTGTGCGTGCAGTTTGGGTCATAAATCATCGGAGTATTTCGCTCTCTCTCGCACTCACGGACCTTAGGGGCGAACATAGTGATGTTATTGTTATCGATAAGCTTTATCGATAGTGTATTTAGTCTTGTCATTATGTGGGTTAGTGATAAAGATGAAAAAAAAAATAGATAAAATAACGTATTTATTAAAATAAGAATAATAATGATATAAAATAAATTATTAATTAGGTATCTATGTATTAAAAGAACTATAAGTACAAATGTTTGAAATGTAACAAGTTATATTAAAAATAAATATAAATGTAAAGATACTAAACTTATATCTAAAATTAAATTTGTTGTTATCGATAAAGGCGTTGCGCCCGCGAAACATGCTCACCGCCCTAGCCGGGTTGAGGTCGAGCTATTTATGACCCCAACTGCACGGACAAAATAATTTTACTATAGAATGTTGGAATACATATCGGTCCCGAAATTTGTAAAAGGATCTTGACTCTCCTAGTTCTGCTACTCGATACTAGAGGGTGGTAGTGGTAACTAGTGTTGCCATGTACAAGACATTAATAGTGGCGCGCAACATTATCAATACAAGAGACAATACCGCGCGGGTTGCAATGTTATACTTTCCTCCCTAGTGGCGTAAAGGAGGTTAATGGATAGAAAAGTAGAAGAAATTTCGAAGTAACATTACTCTCAACTTATTGACTTAACGGATTTTGGCATATGAATTGTCATTGATCTTCGCGTAGGGAGTATCGTAGGCGGCAATTTAAGTGTAATACTTATTTTACAGTCGTATACCATAATATAGAGGCGGTGTAAGAATATCCATATCGTCTCGTAGGTGTCCTAAGAGGCGACAGAGGGAAACAAACCGGGAGATGGGCAGCAGCGTATTCCTTATATCAACCAGAAAAAGACTGCGATGTGCATACAAACCCAAAAATTTTTTTGTTTGTCTTTTAGCGAGACTAACGGACAGCAATTGATTTTTATATATTATAGAGATTATTAGACTCTTAAATCTAGGATTTACGTGCTATGCTATACATAATAAATACTGCAAAGACTGCATGCATTATATTACTTTCCGTATCATGGCTACATAAAAAAAGTTATTAGCACCCTTTCTGGTCCATCTCGTCCGGCAGAAACGATATAACCGTCTCGCATTTATACTAGGAATTCCCAGACTGGCCACGTGAAGCAGCGTCTAGGATGCGAGACGTTCGAAAACGCGACGGCGTTCATGTAATTTATATAACATTTCTGTCCAGGGAAACTGCCACGGTGTTTGTAGAGGAAGTAACCAGGATAGCTCAGCCGGAGGATATATCACAGCCGCAGCCACCTCAAGTTTTACAAACTTGCCTAGTGGAACTTCAGCTTAAAGATCCACCCTTAGTCGTACAGCTCGACAGTAATGCGCCCTGTGTTAGTATCGCACATTTCATTTTATTAAAATATAAAACATAAATAATCTATACAAATAAATAAAATTGAAGTGTCTGTTTGTAATATTAAAATAACAGCTTTTTACTAAATGCATATGAAAATATATACGGTACTAATAACAAAAAAAAAAAAAAAACAATTTTTAAAAATTTTGCCTGTTTGTTTCGGCTAATCTCCGAAACGGCTGGACCGATTTTGACAGGACTTTCACTGGCAGATAGCTGATGTTATAAGCAGTAACTTAGAATACTTTTATTTTAGAAAAATAATTAAGGTTCCGTGCAAAAAATTTAAACCCATGAAACCGTAGTAAATTCAACGCTGGCGAAGTCGCAAGGGACAGCTAGTATAGAATAAAAGAAATTTTACGGATTTAATCGCGTCTAATTTTAACTTTTTTATTTCCGACTATCATATGGAATCTTGCTATGGGGTATTGCGACTGACATTGAAACTATCTTTGTTTTGCAAAAGGGAGCCATAAGCCTTTTGGCATCTCAATATATTTACAAAAATTTAATGTATTAAATTTTCGTAAATATAAACAAAATCAAAAATAGTTTTATTCAAAATAGTGATGTACATTCTATAAATACTAGGAACAAGCACAAGTTAGTTATACCAGTTACTCGATTCCAAAGAGTCAGTAATGCTTTCATAGGGCAATGTATACCCTTTTACAACAAAGTCCCAGAAAATATGCAGACCTTATCTATCAAAATGTTTAAAATATTTATTAAGCAAAAATTGATTAGTAAGGGTTATTATTATACTACTAAAGAGTACATGATTGATAGTAACCCCTGGGAATGAGGGGATCACTACCATGCTGTTTCTAAATGTTTTCATAACAATTGTATAAAATATTATATTGTAAGTTATGCTTTTAAAAAAAATCCCGTTGGGTTTCTTGCTAGTTCTTCCCAGGACAGAGGGTTTTTTCCGAACCAATGGTAAAAGTTCAAAATTACTTTCAATAAGAATTACATGTATTCAATATGGAATAAAAATGATTCTATTCTATTCTATGCTACTCTATTCTACCCAGTCGGAGTATTCTTTTTGGAAAAGGTCCTATCATTTAGTAAATATAGATGTATATCCATACAATAAACGTATATTATCATTCTGATACATGAGTTAAAAAAGCATTTTTTTTTTCTTGATAACATCTGGTTTTGGTTGAAACATGACAACCGGAAAACTCCTTTGCACTAACACACTTCGATACTACCTTGGCTGCCGCTTTCATTGCTTCTGTTAATATCTAGATAAATTAACTTAAACGCCCATCAAACATAACTGAGCTCAGAAATTTTGCCTAGTTTTTGATCGTAACTACTTTGTTTTTTTTTTATTTGCAGATTTTACCAGAACAAATACTTATATTGCAACAACAACTGAGGCAGCACATTCAGTTGTCAGCTTCGAACTTTCTACAGTTGTTCGTTCATCCGGTGCATTGGACTTATGGTCCAAAATATAAAGAATATTTGGTAAGTTTATATATTTTGTGTTTTATGTGTATTCTAGCATTATTTATAATTTAGTTATGTTTTTGTTGTATGTTCGCATGTTGAAGTTTATCTTTGTACGTAGTTCATAATTTAAATTAAATTAAAAAAATACATCCCACTGTAGGAAGAAATCAGGTGAACTATTTGCCTCCTCTTCCATAAAAACAGGAAAACTCCACCGTGCTGCCCTGGTGAGTTTTGACAGGCTTCAAAAACTTCCGCAAAGTAACGCCTGATTCTGTTAATAGTCAAATTCTTTTTATACAACTTTAATTTAAAAAAAAAACTGGTCAAAAATTTCTGTTCACTACCCCATATTATTCAGTGGTTGTCCTAAGAGGCGACAGAGGGAAATGTAAACAGGAGATGGGCAGCAGCATTTTCCTTATAACTCGAATTAATATAAAAAAAACTGCGGTTGCCAACATATCTAAAAAGCGTGGCAATTATAGCAAATTCTCCAAAATGTATATACCTATATAACTCCTAAACGTGTCGCCAGATTTTGGCCATACATTCAGACACAACACTAGTACAAAACACTAGGGCACACCGCGTTCTCGGCGAGCGCGAGGTCACAGACAACCCGTACACGAGGTTTAATATCAGTGACACGGGGCGTATTTAGTTTTCGATCCGCTTTCCTACTGCTATAGTGCTTTCCTATTGCTATAGTGGTTCAAGCTGAGGTTCGTACCTCTTCCTAGCTAGAGGAGCCACTTTTCGAAAGCAGGGGCCAGGGGGCCTCTGGACTGCAGTCGGCAGAATCGTTGCACTCAGTAGCCCGTAAGTCCTAGCTTACGAGTCTATTTCAATGAAGCTGTAAAGGCCGCAGGGCCAACAGCACACATTTTCAGAAAAAAAAAACAGATTTTGACAAAATTTGTCATTTAATGCATCATTCGATTTATAGTAATTTTGTATGGTGCAACCGTACATTTCAGTTTTGTAATTGATTTATTTAGGTCAATTTCAAATGCGTCATTTACTTTACTTTTTTGTGCAGTTCACGTTTTCATTCAGAACACGGCGGACGCGTTCTATATCATTACTAATTTTGTATCCATATCATTATTCAGAAAAAAATTGCGAATCCTGATTGGCTGGGTTAAATAAAATCATTTTGACTCTTATATCATCTTTCATTTAAAGGTATTCCGTACTTTGTTTTACAGGAAGATTTAAATGAATTGGTGACTAAAAACCCCGATTCAGTAGCCAATGTGTGCAACTTGAAACCAGCAATAGAGCTAATAGCTTCATGGGAGAAGACCGTCTCCGTATCAACGCCCGAGAACGAGGAAATGGTCAAGTAAGTTGGCGTTCTTCTTATTAATCATGGGAATCCCAGCTATGGACAAAGTTATGTCCAGTATGAATAGTTTAGTAATCTAAACTTAAGATTGCAAAATTAACGATTCTTATTCTCATTACCAATATCTACCACAGTTAAAACTCAAATATTATCGAAAGCTATAAACTGACCTAGACTCTCACTCAAATGTCATAATCTACTTGCAGGGTTAGCCAAGTTGACTTTCTACAATGGTTAACGCTAATAGAAAACTATAAAATTGTACTTGAGATATGTCACTCCCATTATTTTTAAGCGTCTCCCACCCACAAGCGGCTTAAGGTAGCGATCAGGCTGGCGCAACTTCCATAGTAAAAATTATATGTAGTACAGGGGTCAAATTTTAATGACGATTATCTCTTCTTTCTACTTTTCGTAATATGTCTATTAAGGACATTGTCAAATCAAATAGATTTAAATGTCAAATCAAACAATTACAGATGTATATATTTTAATTATTAAAATTACTTTTAATTTCGCTATAGGAGCCGTTGTTCATTTACATAATTGTTAAAAAATTAAATATGCATTATAAAACTTTCCAATTAAATGGTGCAAGAAGCAGAAAAAATGATAACAAGAAAAGGCTACTCGTAGGCAACATTTACCTTGGATGATGAAAGGTATGTGGTGATTTCAACTTTAATTGTAATATGATATTTAACGCGATACATTTTTGGACTAGCCATCTACGTAGGACAAGTTTTTATAGTGTACGATTGTGTGCAAAGTTCAAAGAGATTTAAATATATAGATATACTGTAGAGGGGACATTGGGAACATTTATATACAAAAACTTTGAGCTAGTGCGCGTGTTGCATCCTCTAGCCAAAAATAGCCAAACAACGCTAAACATTAAGACAACATTTTAGCTATTCCCCAGTAGGTGACGCTAATATACATAACCTCGTTTTAGGAATGTTACCGTTTCGATATCAAAGTATCGATAATGTTATTGAAGATTACTAAGTTTGAAATGCTTTTGGATATAACAATAGGGAATATACATGATTATTTTATTGTATAAATCCACTTATCATGACTTACATCACTCGAAAAAAATCATAAACTTTTTACGCCCCTTTTGTATCATGAAATAAAATATTTAATTTCCAATAACTAAGAATCAATTCAAACAGCAGTCACTTTGGTTGCCACCTTGGTGGTATGACGTCCATTATCCACTCAGTCCATTAGCTGCATATAATAGCATATGATTGATCGGTTGGCGTTAAAGACACATCGAGAAACGCCAAATCCAATAAGAGAGCGCCTCTTATGTTTTTAAATTCGTTTTTATTACAAAAATACACTTCAAATCTAAAATATTTTAGGAAAACACTGAACTTAAAAGCCGTTTCACGATTTTTCACGTTTCATCAGCTGCAGTACTTAAAGACACTACCCACATCAATAAAAATTGTTATTTTAAGTTTTTACCTTATTTTCTAACTCAGGTTTAACCTATAACTTCTTGCATCTAATATCTTTAACGGTACAAATTGTTTTTAATGTAAGAAATCTATTGCCCTCTCCTACCACTGTAAGCGAGGATCTATAATGGCTTTGTCCTTGAAAACCACCAGACAATGAAGCCCGGTGTAAAACCACCAGACGACAACAAAGACAGACAAGCATGGTATGTAAAAGAGAAGACTTGCTTTATTGCTAAATATCTACACAGCAAGTATCCTCAGCATGCTCATAAGCAACACAGAAAATCTCATCAGCATGGCTAAAACAATTTCCCACCCTTGCTCCACATAAAGCAGGGTACTTAGCATAGTTGGTATATGCTACTCATTTTTGTTGGTATGGGTACAGTACCGTTGACTATTTTACCTCCTTAAATATTGTAAAGGATTAAATATATTATCCTGTATATTTTTTATCGATAATTCCAATCGAAAAACGTCGTCAATCACTAACTTTAAAATTGGCAACTAAATAGTGACGTTTACTGGATAACAGAGGGCGCGTATTACAATAAAAATAAATGTTCTAGAACAATCTACTAGAAATTATAAAATTTAAAGATTATTCGGAAAATATATGTTATATTTACGATAATAAACGAAATCACGTTCATTTTTTGCTCCATATCGTGACTTACAATATCTTAATGCACAACCGGGCATATATATTTTTTATATAAATTTCTTTAAAAATATTTTTTAAAGATATGAAAAGAATGCGTCTTGACTTTATGACGATGTCACTAAGACTAACGGAGATATATCCTACAGGACATAAGTTACAGACGACAATTTTGCTACTGGTGTCTGGTCTATTACTACTACTACTTAAATGTCTTTGGCAAAAATACAAACACACTATTTCCTAAAACTGATAGTTCAATGGGATGGCAATCCGAAACTTACTATACTTAGAAACTACATTGTCAATTGTGACTGCTAACATTTTATTTGTTCAATAAAATGTGATTTTATTTATATTATTTTTTCAGATGCAAGCAATGGGTGAAATACTGGCACATGCACCAATTAAAAAGATTCACATCTTAAAATATAACATATTTGTGGTAAACATTGCATTTGAACTCAACTATATCGAAGTGTTATTTCAACAGTGGACTTAATTTAAACTTCCACAATTATGTGTATGTTAATTAGGTTTCATTTACATGTAGCAAAAGATAATATCCCTCTAAAGTCACATTTTGGCAATGATTAGATTATATAACTAAATCATTATTTTATTCATCTACAAACATTAGCTACAATGAGCACTCATTTTGAAAGTGACAATTAGTAAATGATTTCTGCGAGTAGTATGTACACTGTTACCTCTGTGAAGAAGCCTAGCGATTTTTACATAGTATTTGTTACACTTAAAAGCAATTTAATCCAATCAGTGCTAAAACCCAAACTTTGTACCCTTTAAAAAAAACTAACGTTGAAAGCAAGCATCCAGACGCAGACTATTTGTTTTATAACGTAGCAAAACTTGTTCAGTGCGGGAACGAAGCCTGGATCCTGCAGTGCCGCAGGCAAACGATTAGCCACTGCGCTACGGAGTCATCATTTATTTTTTACTTAATTAATTACTAGTATAATAGTCTGTTTTTGTACATATTTTTGTACCCACTAATTGTAGAGAAATAATTACAAATTGCTGTGTGTAAAATACACTGATTTCTTATCCTCATCGGTATTTTTACTCAATCCCCACGTTAAAAATTTTATTTCTCATAAATAATTCAGTATAGCGATCTAACTTTTATTATGTAAAAATATCGATAAAGGTTATATCATATCTTAATGTTGGTAGAGTAGCTTGGCGTACTTCCATACATTTACTTGATTTACTTTTACTATGGAAGTCCCGCCTCTTAAACGTAGTGATTATATTCTCTTTGGTAGCGGCCAGTTCTATTCGCTTGTAATGTGAGTCTGCAAACCCGTGCGGCCATGGCGTGGCCGCCACCGCGTGTTAGCGAGCGTGCGGCTATCGGTGTCAGTTGCAAATTTTTACAGCAGGCCGCGTGTACCGCCTCAAAAATTCGCCCAAATACAGAGAAACTGCAACTGCGACCGCGGTGGTGTGTTGTTGCAGTGGCTGGAGCCGCGGTTCCCGGTTAGCCGCCACCGCAAACTGCTTGTTTATGGAAGACGCTTCATAGTTTTATTTTAGCGTTAACGATTGTAGAAAGTGTTATCCACGCTGTTCTCGATTATGCGATAAGATCGGAGGCAAGCTGGGATGTATTGTCAGAAGAGAGCAATTACAACACAACCAGATACAAAAAATAACAATTTGTATTTTTACGCTTTGCGTCTTTGATGAATCCATCTGGAATTCGCTTGAAATCTAATTAAATCTAATTCGTTCTAATTCAAATGTGTACTAAGCCACGCGATCTAGAACTCAGATTACCTTGATGAAATTTACTCACTTCACTGTAGCGTACCTACTGGTATGTATGTATATCCTTTACTAGTCATCGAACTTTGCCAAATTATGTAACAATCGAATAACTAACATTAATAATTAATACCATTGACTGACAAAATTACAAATTTATACCAAATTATTATATTCAGGGTTATTTTGTAGCCAAAATTTAAACTTAAGTTGAAATATTTAAATAATGATATACCACTTGCTGCATTGCTGATTGCAGTTTTTTGAAAATAGGAGCAAATAAGGCTTCTACTTTTATTTGAAGTTATCCCAATGTAAATATGATTAATGGACAACAACGTGTTTGTCTACCGATCGAACTTTACGAATGTGTTCGTGCGCTGTAAAATCAGTTAAAATAATGCATTACCACGCATTTTGAATGTGAAAGATAAAAAGGACAGAATGTTTGAGATTTTTTTTTATAAATGTTTCTTTGCGAATTGCCTATATTACTTATTCTGAACATTCCCTGCAAACAACAATGGCAGACTTTCAGACATAAAGTTAGTTGAGAAGGAGTGGTAGCGTTTATATATCAAAAATATCTTAAAATGTTAAGCGTCAGTCCCTTAATAACTCTGTCAAAGAATGTTGTGCTGAGAAGGCGTCTAAAAAAAGATATTTAGATTTGAACCTTTTTAGGTTATGTCTTATGTCACTTGGAAAAAGTCATGTGTCCTGTGGTTGGTTGATGTTAACTTAATACATTCTCAACATAATGTACCTATCTACATAATTGAGAGTTTTTAGATTATTGTACTCTATTATATATTTGCATTCTATAAATGTATATTTCTGGCATGGTGCCAGGGCCTTTGTGTCATACAGTGACATTCTCAGTAAGGCTAGAACCCAGAGTCGTAAAGCCAGTAAAAAAAAACAGTGACATTTTCTTTTAGCTAGTGTTGCCATAACATTAAATGGAATTGTTATATAGTACTATGATAGAAATATTGTGTTTTTGTAGGAAGTTATTTGTAAGAGACTTATTTTCAACTATATCATTTTTATTTTTATTATTACTGATAGTA